CTACTAGGCCTGGCTTGAATACAAAGGGACGGGCCTTATGGTACCAATCTGTTCAGTAGTAAAGTTATATATCCACGCTCTTTTCCCGTATCAATCTTTCCTATAGTGACACAGTAAATACTAGGCCTAGATATAAACAGACGGCTTTTGGGATATCAGTCTGTTCATTAGTGAACTTCTTCTGCAAAGGCTTGTCTTTTTGTATCAAGTCCTCGTTTATCAGTTCGTCTTTTGGTTATCAATCTGTTCAATATAGGCCTTGTATAATTAGGACTCATTTTGAGAATCAATCTGTTTGACAATTACCTCGTATTGCTAGGCCTACATACAAACATGGCCATTTTGGGTATCATTCTCAGTAGGAACCTTATAATACTAGGCCTCGATATGAATAAACAGCCCTGTCTGAGTTCAATCTACTATGTGAGGCCTAAATATAAACAAACGACCTTTTGGGTGTCACTTTGTCAGTAGTGACCATAACAGCGGGCCTTGATGCAACCAGATTGCCATTTCGGGCATCAATCTGTCTAATAGTGACCTTTAATATAGGCTTCGATATACACGTAAAGAAACTCATTCTGGGTTACAACGAGTTCAATGGTGAGCTCATATTACTATATAAAGACGTTTTTCATGTATCATTCTGTTAAAAAGTGGCGCTGTATTACTAAATATAAGAATCAATCTGTTCAATACACGGTGACCTTTCATTGCTAGGCGAACAGATGGCCCTTTTCGGGGTATCAGTCTGTTCAATAGTCACCGATACAAGTGGCCTGCCATTTTGTTAAAAAGTAACTCTGTAGTACTTGATACAAACAGAAGGCACACGTCGGGTATCAGTTTGTTGAACAGAAATCTTTATTACTAGGCCTATAAATTATAAGTAAACAGCCCTTTCGGGTATTAATCTGTTTAGCAGTGACCTTATAAAACTAGACCTTGGTAGAAACAGACAGTGCTTTCGCGAATAAATCTGTTCAATGGCGACCGTATTTTCACTAGACATAAATAGACCATGCATTATCATATCGGCCTAGAAATAAACAGACGACGCTTTCGGGTATCGATTTCATAAAAAGTGACTTAGTATTACTAGGGCAAGATATTTACAGACGACCCTTTCGGGTATGAGAAGTGACCTTGTAT